ATCTAGCGGCAGCAGCATTACTCGCATTTATTTCATCGTTAATATATATTAATATATCGATTATGTTTTGGTATTTGTATACTAAAATTTTGTAGCACAAAGATTGATGGTTAACATCAAAAAAAATTATTTTAAACGGTTGACGGTACCAACGTCCAATCGTCGTGATGGCTGGAGAATTATTTACTTACATAGTCGATTTCACCAAATCCCTTAGAGGAAGAGACATGAAAATGACAATTGGGACATTTTGCAATGATTATACTTTAATCGTGACCGGTTCTGTAACCACAATCACACTAAAGCAAAATTGGGAATTTTGAAGATTTAACAATCGGAAGCAAAGTTGTCCTCAACAATCAACAACTTCACACTGTATGTTTTATCAACCTTAAAGATGAACCCACATATCAATTTAATTATATCACAAGCGACCCTTGAGTTTGGACAACGGGAAAATTTTTTGATTAATAAGCTAATAATATATTCAAAATATATATTCTTGTGTGTTTTGTGCAAAAGTTATATAATGTAAAACTTATAATTTTGAATTGATTTTAGGATAAATAACGTTATAATAATAAATATAATATAATTTTAATGGAGCTGCTGCGCGACAAAAATTACAAAGCAGGGGAATACAAAGAGCATTCATTACCTTACATTACTCGTTTCTTTGTTTCCTGATACAGAGAGTTATATTGGGCCCGACTCTTTCTGCTAACATTCATTTCATGTTTTAAATATTGAATTAAAGCCAGCAAAAACCATTTTTATATCTAATAGATTTATAGGCAATAAAATAAATTGACTAAATGATTCTGTACCAGCGAATAATTTATGATATTAAATTATTATTATCAAGAAAAATTGATTCACCATTCATATATGAAAAATACAAACTAACTATGTGATATAAATATGATAATAAATAATATAAATAAAAAATAAAAAAATGATAAGTTATATTTTATTATGACCTGAACAATTATCATAGGTCTTTTCACCATCATGACGAATCTTTTGAAGAAATCCAAGCCCATATTT